GTCAATTTTGGCCATTCTAACTGGTGTAAGGTGGTATCTTAATGTGGTTTTGATTTTTATTTCCCTGATGGCTAGTGATGATGAACATTTTTTCATGTGTCTGTTAGCCATTTGTATGTCTTCTTTGGAGAAGTTGTTCGTGTCTTCTACCCATTTTTTTATGTCATCTGTTTTGTTGTGTTGAGTTTGAGGAGTTCTTTATAGATTTTGGATATCAGCCCTTTGTCTGTACTGTCATTTGCGAATATCATCTCCCATTCCTTGGGTTGCCTCAGCAACTTCTTTCAAGATATGTCTCCAAAGGAAAAGGAAACAAAAGCAAAAGTGAACTTTTGGGACTTCATCAAGATCAAGATCGAAAGGTTCTGCATAGCAAAGGAAAGTCAACAAAACAAAGACGCTGGTAATAACTTCTAATAATTTTTTCTATTTCCTTGGGGTTAGTCATGATCTATCTCCTTTCATTCATGATTTTATTATTTTGGGTCCTTTCTGTTTTCTTTTGGATAACTCTGGCCAATAGTTCATTGATATTATTAATTCTTTCAAAGAACCAGCTTCTAGTTTCACTGATCTGTTTTACTGCTTTTCTGGTTTCTATTTCATTGATATCTGCTCTAATTTTATTATTTCTCTTCTCCTGCTTGGTTTAGGGTTTTTTTGCTATTCTTTCTCCAGGTCCTGTAGGGGTAAGGTTAGCTTGTGCATTTGGGATTTTTCTACTTTTTTGGGAGAGGCTTGGAAGACTATGTATTTCCCTCTTAGGACTGCCTTTGCAGTATCCCAAAGGTTTTGGACTGATGTTTTTTCCTTTTCATTACTTTCCATGAATTGTTTAAGTTCTTCTTTAATTTCCTGGTTGACTCAATCAATCTTTAGTGGGAGGCTCTTTAACTTCCAAGTGTTTGAATTCCTTCCAGTATTTTCTTCTGATTGAGTTCCAGTTTCAAAGAATTGTGGTCAGATAATATGCAGGAATAATCTCAATCTTTTGGTATTGGCTAAGACCTGATTTGTGACCCAGTATGTGGTCTATTCTGGAGAAAGTTCTGTGTACACTCATAAAGAGTGGAAATGCTGTTGTTTTATGGTAGGTAATTCTGTGTATATATCTATGAAGGCCATCTGGTCCAATGTGTTATTCAAAGCTCTTGTTTCCTTGTTGATCTTCTACTTAGATGATCTGTCCATTGCTGAGAATGGAGTGTTAAGATGTCCTACTCTTAATGTATTGCTATCCATATGGTTTATTATTTTGGTTACAGTTACAATTGGCTAATGTAGTTGGCTGATCCTGTGTTGGGGCATAGATATTTACAATTGCTAGATCTTCTTGTTGGATAGACCCTTTAAGTATGATATAATGTCCGTCCACATCTCTTACTACAGTCTTTAGATTAGAATCTATTTTGTCTGATATAATAATTGCTACCCCACCTTGCTTTGATGTCCATTAGCATGAAAAATGGTTCATCATCCCCTCACTTTCAATCAGGAGGTGTCTTTAGGTTCAAAGTGAGTATCTTGTAGACAGCATGCGCATGGGTCCTATATTTGTATACAGTCTGCAACTGTGTGCCATTTCATGGGAGCATTTAAGCCATTCACACTGAGAGTGGCTACTGCAAGATACGTATCTAGTGCCATAATATTGTCTATAGAGTTCCTGTTTCTATAGATTGTCTCTGTAAATCTTCGTTCTGTATCACTCTTGGGGTCTTTCTCCTTTTATAGAATCCTCCTTAATTTTTCTTGCTGGGCTTGGTGGTCACATATTCTTTTCAGTTTCTGCCAGTCCTGGAAGCTCTTTGTCTCTCTATTCTTAATGACACCTTTGCTGGATAAAGTATTCTTGGCTGCATGGTCCTCTCATTCAGTACCCTAAATATGTCTTGCCAGCCCTTTCTGGCTTGCCAGGTTTTTGTGGACAGGTCTGAAGTTACTCTGATGCTCCTCCATCCATACGTAATAAATCTCTTCCCCCTAGAGATGGAGAGGAGAAGGGAGCTGAGGGAAATTGGAAGGGGAGGTAAACCATGAGAGACTATGGACCCTGAAAAACAACCTGAGGGTTTTGAAGGGGCGGGGGGTGGGAGGTTGGGGGAAACAGGTGGTGGGTATTGGGGATGGCACATATTGCATGGAGCACTGGGTGTGGTGCAAAAACAATGAATACTGTTATGCTGAAAAGAAATTTTTTTAAAAATGGGAAAAAATCTCTTCCCCCTAGCTGCTCTCAGAATAGCTTCCTTGGCTCTAAGATTTGCAAGCTTCACTATTATATGGTGGGGTGTCAATCTATTTTTATTATTGATTTTGGGAGGGGTCCTCCCTGTTTCTTGGACAGAATGTTTTTTCCCTTCCCCAGATTAAGGAAGTACTCAGGTGTGATTACAGCATATCTTCTAGAACTCTCTCTCTCTCTCTCTCTCCACTCCCTCAGGGATCCCAATAATTCTGAGATAGGAGCATTTCATGGCATCATTAATCTCTCTACGTCTGTTCTCATGGATTTTTGTTTTGTCCCAGGCCTCCTGGCCTCCTCTTGTTCCTTTCTTTGTATCAGCTTATCTTCTAAATCATTAATTCATGCTTCTGCCTCATTTACCCTACCTCTTAGAGTATCCAGTTTAGTCTGTATCTCATTCATAGTATTTTTAAGTTTGACAAGATTCAGTCTCATTTCTGTCCTTAGAGACTCCATATTGCCGCTAATGGTTTTCTGAAGCCTAGCTATTGACTTCATAATTCCTACCCTGAAGTGTTTCTCTGACATCTTTTTTTAACATAATTTTTAATTATGTTATGTTAGTACCATACAATACATCATTAGTTTTTGATGTAGTGCTCTATGATTCACTATTTGAGTATAACTATCTTGCTTATATCCATATCCATTAGGTCTGTGGGAGAGGCCATTGTCTCTGGTTCTTTTCTTTGATGGAAGTTCCTCCTCCTAGTCATTCTGTTGAAGGGTGGTTGAGGAGATGTACAGAGTCCAAAATATCAACCATAATCCAGGCAAGATGCACCCTGGGAAAATCCAGAGTGGTCTGAAGTCACCACCAGGAAAACAAAGCCAAAATAAAACCCAAGAGTAAAATTTATAAAATTTAAAATTTTTTTAAACTTAAAGATTTTAAAAAAAATTTAAGGGGAGAATGTGGAGAATGGGGGCTATAATCTCTCAACGTGGGCAAGGTAGGGTGTTTCAGTTCTTCCTGGGTGTATTTTGTTCTCTTTTTTAGAGGGCACTATTTCCCAGAGTTACAGGAAAAATATAACTGGTATATATAAAAGGTAATATTGAACACCAAAAAAGGACTACATTGCATCTTATATCTATATATTTTTTAAAAGGTGTGAAAAAGTACAAGTTAAAAAGCTACTATTAAATCTATTACATTAGATTTCTCAACATCTAGTTGAGAAAAAGGTAAAAAGAAAAAAACAGAAAAGAAACATGAGAAAAAAAGAAAAAGAAAGTTGTATCTGAAAAATACACAAGCCCTGAAGCAGCACCTAGAGCTCAATATACTATTTTCCCCTGGTTTGCAGATTTTACAGTTTTATAGGGAGCCTAGGGTTGTCATCCTCTTGTTCTTCCAGCTTGTTTTCTGGGGGAGGAACTGGCCACACTTTTTTACGCCACCCTACTTGGGTGGATTTGTCCCGCCCCCATCAGTGGGCTGGGCTCCATGGAAACTGGATTTTTGGGCTTTTGTTTTCTGGCAGCTTTCCAGGCTTTTCTGAAAGTCAGAGCAAAGGAAAATGTCTGCAAGCAGACCTCTGCCTCAGGGCAGAGAAATTACAGAATTACAGTTCTTTTCTGTTCTTTTCTGAACCCTCCAGAATACACACCCTCCATTTCTTTGGAGCTGATGAAAACCTCAGCTTCCCTTGGGCAGTTCACACCCCTAGCAACCCTCTCAGCAGTCAACTCAGGCCCCTGCTTGTCTCTGCCCTTTGTGCTTCTAAAACCATGAGCAGTCCCAGGTCCAGGTCCATGCCAGTGGCTGGTCCTCGGTCTGCCCACATTGCCCCCTCAGCTTCTGGATCTTGTTTGAGCACTGTTTTCAGGTCGTTCCTGGTGGGCTGATACTGCTCTATAAGCTATAACTATCCCTGGCACAGGATGCTTTTGCACTCTGGTGTAATACCACTTTCCAGAAGCCAGCTTATGGTGCCTCCCTCCTCCTTCTCTTTATCTTCCAATATCTACCCACAGAATCACTACACCATCCTTCATAGCTCGTAACCAGTGGAGTTTTTCTGCTTGTGGAGATCCAGATATATATCTTCTTACATCTCAGGCTGATTTTGTGGGTGTCCAGAATAGTTTTGTAGATATCCAGCTAAATTCGGGGGACAGTTGAAATGGAGTCCCTTACTCCTCCACCACCTTGCCCCCTCACAATGAAATCTTGCTATTTGCAATGACATGATGAAGCTAGAGAGTATTATGGTAAGTGAAATAAGTCAGTCAGAGAAAGACAGATACCATATGATTTCACTCATATGTGGAATTTAAGAAACAAAACAAATGAGCAAAATGGAAAAAAAAAAGAGAGAGAGAGAGAGAGAGAGAGACAAACCAAGAAACAGACTCTTAACTTCATAGAACACACTGATGTTTACCATAAGGGATGTGGTGGGGGAATGGAAGAAATAAGTGACGGGGATTAAGGGGGGGACATGTAATGATCACCATTTGTTGTGTGGAGTGTTGAGTCACCATATTGTACACATAAAATGAATATTACACTGTCAGTTAACTAACTAGAACTTAAATAAAACCTTTAAAAATAAAAAATGAAGGATAATAAATACATAAATGAAGCTCATTTGCTTAAAAATTATTATTTCATTTTTTCTTCTTTCCTTGTAGTCACCACCACCACATGGAACCAAGCAATGATACCAGAATTTCATACTTTCTTCTTCTGGGATTATCAGAGGAACCAGACCTGCAGCCCCTCATATTTGGGCTTTTCCTCTCTATGTACCTGATCACTGTGTGTGGAAACCTGCTCATCATCCTGGCTGTCACCACAGACTCCCATCTCCACACCCCCATGTACTTCTTCCTTGCGAATCTGTCTTTTGTAGACATCTGTTTCACTTCCACCACTATCCCCAAGATGCTGCAGAACATTCAGAATAACAGCGAAGTCATAACATATGCAGGCTGCATCACACAGATATACTTTGTCCTACTCTTTGCAGGCTGGGATGATTTTCTCCTGACTGTGATGGCCTATGACCGCTTCGTGGCCATCTGTCACCCTCTACACTACACAGTCATCATGAACCCCCGGCTCTGTGGACTGCTGGTTCTGGTGTGCTTGATCATCAGTGCTCAGAATTCCTTGTTACAGAGCTTAATGGCATTTCGGTTGTCCTTCTGTACAGGCATGGAAATCCCCCATTTTTTCTGTAAACTCAGTAAGGTAGTTGGGCAAGCCTGTCCTGACAAGTTTCTTAATGACATGGTGATGTATTTTGCAACTGTGCTGCTGGGTGTTGCTCCCCTACCTGGGATCCTTTACTCTTACTCTAAGATCGTTTCCTCCATATGTCATATATCATCAATTCAAGGCAAGTATAAAGCATTTTCCACCTGTGCATCTCACCTTTCAGTTGTCTCCTTATTTTATTGTACAGCCTTAAGAGTGTACCTTAGCTCTGCTTCTCCCCAGCGCTCCCACTCAAGTGCAGTAGCCTCGGTGATGTACACGGTGGTCACACCCATGCTCAACCCCTTCATCTACAGCCCTAGATTCTTGTTTGTTGGGAGACTTTTGATTACTGATTCAATTTCATTGTTGCTATGGGTCTATCCTATAACTCAGCAATCACACTACTAAGGATTTATCCAAAGGATACAAATACAGTGATTTGAAGGGGCACATGAACCTCAATATTTATTGCAGTAATTTCAGCAATAGTCAAGACATAGAAGAGCCCAAATGTCCATTTACTGATGAATGGATGAAGAAGATGTGGTACATATATACAATGGAGCATTACTCAGCCATCAGAAGGATGAAATCTTGCCATTTGAGACAATGTGTTTGGAACTACAGTGTATTACGCTAAGTGAAATAAGTCAGTCAGAAAAAAACAAATACCATATGATTTCATTTATATGTAAAATCTAAGAAACAAACTGGTGAACATAGGGGAAGGAAGGGGAAAATAAGATAAAAACAGAAAGAAAGGCAAAACATAAGAGACTCGACTATAGAGAACTGAGGGTTGCTAGAGGGGATGTGGGTGGGGAAATGGGGTAACGGGGTGATGGGCATTAAGGAGGACATATCATGTAATGAGAACTGGGTGTTATACACAACTAATGAATCACTAAATACTAACCCTCAAACTAATAATGTACTGTATGTTAAATAGCTTGAATTTAAATAAAATGTAAAAATAAATAAATGTACTGGGGGTGAAGATGTGAACACATTTGGGAGGTCTTATTCTGCCTACTACAAAGTCTTTTTCAAAAGTGCATTATTTTGGTCATTTATGAAAGCAATAAACAGTTTACAAACTCACTCCTGAAGAAGGAGTGAATACCTGGTTTCCTCAAAGTTTCATGCTATGACAATATTTGGTGCAGAACTCTTAAATCTCCCTCCACCTAACTCTAACACAGGATCACAACTTTGCTAATCAAAGACTTGTCCATACACCAGGACCTGCATATCAACACCATCCAAGAGTTTTCTACAAAGGCAGAATCTCTGGGCCACCCAGGACCTGTGATTAGATTCTGCATTTATAGTGGGACCTGTGTGGATTCACAGGCACATTGAAGTTGGAGAGATGCTGGTCTAGATGAATTTCTCATGTGTTATGGTTGACGTTTGTGGTAGGATAATATTTGGGGGGTGCTTTCCTTTGGATTGTAGGCGTTCAGCAGCATCCATTCAGAGATCACCAGACATCCCCAGGGTCAAATTATTTTATGGCTGAAACCAATGCCACAGAGCTTGAGAACTAGAAACAACCTGACAGAATGACACTAGAGGCCCACCACATAGTCACATATTCAGTGTGGACAGATCATTAGCTAGCAATAAGCACCATGTCTACAATTAAGATTGGAATACATAAATGTACTTCCTTGGGAATAAAATGTTTATAAAAGTAAATCAAACAGTCCCTATGAGATGCAAGCTCATGTTATAGAACACAAAAATATCTAAACACATCTGTTATAACTATCAACCATTTTATGACAAAGGAGCATGTGATAGCTCTTACCTTGTATAAAGTAATGCCTAATTGTAATGGCAAATGTGTTTTTTTTTTTTTTTTTTAGCCAATGTGTGTGATGGCCAAGGTTTATTATCAGAAGAACCCTCTTCAGTTTTGAAGGGGCCGGGGGTGGGAGGTTGGGGGAGCCAGGTGGTGGGTATTACAGAGGGCATGTACTGCATGGAGCACTGGGTGTGGTGCATAAGCAATGAATTCTGTTACGCTGAAAAGAAATAAAAAATTTTTTAAAAGAAAGAAGAAGAACCCTGTTCTCTGCCTTAAAAAAGAAGAATAGACTCTGTCTGGAGACAGCAGAGCTGGGTCCACACCACATGTTAATTCTTTGATGATAAAATGTTCTAATCCAAGCGGGTTACTAGGTCTTAGATTTGAAGAAAATTATAACTTGGAGCTAAGATAAGATGCTAGGAAACTCACACATCAAAAGAGGGGCAAGTTCAGAGAAAGGGAGTAAAAGAAACTTAAAAATTACCAAAAACTGGCTTCACTTGACCTCTAACCCTGTCTTTTGGGAATTGAGATCCATTAGGAAAACATCCTTTCTGTCCAGAGGACTTTTCCACTTGGGAATCGTGTGCTTAGAGACTGGAGTCACAAAAGGGCAATGTGCCTAATGAGCAGATACAAAGAGCTCTAAATACTTCCTTGTCTCCAGTCCTTCAGCCTGTGCAACCTTGGATGTGAAAGCATGCTCCTTGTCTGTTTGTTCCAAATCCCAGTTCTGGCTGGAGTCTGATGCTTCACTCCGTGCTGCCTCGGATGAGGACAGAGCTTTCAGCCCTATCATCTGCTCTCCAGGGAGGAATTCAGACTTCCACAGGACACCTTCCTCTCAGACACCTCAGCCAGGTGAGTCCAACACCCCAACTGACTGTTGATGACAGGGTCAGAGAGAATGGAAGCCAAGAACATTGACCAGTCATCACCTGAGAGCCAATTCAACCTAGCCCAGAGCAAAAGATCCCTGTGTTTGTTTGTTTGATTGATTAATTTATTCAGTGCTAATGTCAGTTTCTCAGAGTGACTGCTACTCACACTTTTGAAGGTCTTTCATATTCTTTATCATTAAACTGCTATTATTATAATGCTAGAAAAAATATGTTGAGATTGTTAAACTCAATGTGTGATTCTAATCCAGTGTGATTTTGTCCCCTGAGGGTCACTGATCACAGTCAGAAGCCAGCTTTGCCTGTCACAGGGGAAATGGGTGCATGGGGGTAATGTCTAAACACCCTATAAGGCACCCTGCCCCAGGGCAGGATCTGTCCAGCATGTCCATGGCGCAGAGACAGAGAAACCACGAGGTAAAAAAAAAATACCAGTATTTGGAACACAGCTGTCTTCAGGTTCTGACTTCAATCTTTTAACAACTTACTTTTCTACCAGCAAATTCACAGTAACCCCTTGGCCACCAGTTTAAAATTTCCAACCACAAAGAATGTAACTGCTCTATAAGTTTGTTCCCCAGGCTGCTGGTGATAGAGATGTTTCTTGCTGTTCTTAAAGTATCCCTCAGTTTCAGCCAACTTCATGTATTTGATGACCATTCTCATTGATTTTTATTACTATATGCCTATATGTTATTCTCTTTCTCCCTCTTTTATTTTTAAAACACTATCAGCATTTTAAATTATTTCTTCAGATCTTTATTTCTCAATTGACTTTTGGAACATATTTTGACCATAAAAATTTGACATTTTATTTAAATGTGTCTACCTACTTACTTCTGAGTTTCTTGTTATATTTAAGTGGTTTTGCCCAACTGCAATTTTTGTGTGTCGTTTTATTAATGTTCTAATATAAGCTATGGTTACAGTAATACCAAGGCCATAATCCTCTGAGCTTTTGTAAGATCTGAGAGGGGATTGATTTCATATTCTTCCAAACAGATATTTTTTTAATTTCTTTTCAGCGTAACAGAATTCATTCAAACAGATATTCTTTTATGCCAATATTTATTTAGCAATTCAACCTTGTCCAACAAAATAGAAATACAACATTGCCGTATGGTAAATGTCCTTATACAATAAGACCTAATTCCTGACACATATAACAAATAAAAACTGAGGATCTGCCATAAGCCAGAACATTCTAGGAATATTACATGCTATATTCATATATAAGCTTTTTCCAATTTAGTTATTAATCCACACTGTTATCATTGATGATTGCTATTTTATATCCCATTTCAGTTCATTTTGGTTTTACATACAAATTTCCCTAGGACAGGTGTTTTGAAACTACTCATTTTACATTTTAACCTAGTTTTGGTTAACCTAGTTAAACCTAGTTTAACCTAGTTTTTTCATTCTCTAACTTTTTACATTCTTAGGTCTTTTTATATTAAGCACATATGTTCACAAAACTTGGTGAAAAAAAAACAAAAGTGAGCCAGGAAGGTAAAGTCCATGCACTTTTGAATCATGTCTCATAACAGTGAGGACAGCACAATGAAATAAATGTATGATATGATGCCCACAGACAGAAGATCTGAAGCAAATTATTGAGTACAAAATGATAGAATTGTCATGGTGTGGGCAGGATTATAGAGCATGGTCTGTGGACCCTTTTGCATGTTGGATGAAATCCAGTTTGAAGATTAGAGTGGGCACATTGGGTTTGTCAAAGGATAGAAAAATACCTAAAGCCCAAGAATGTCAATAAAAAGATGCCACATAAAACTCTGAAATTTGTGTCTGCCACTGAGTGCAGCAGATCTGAAGATATTTCCTGGATGTGGACTGTAATTTTTCAAAAGCCACAGTGTGACAGAAGCACTGTATGGGATTTGTTGAAAAATGTTTGGGAGATTGACTCTTCCAAAACTGCTTTTTACTAGCATCCTTGGAATTGCTGGAAGGATGTATATTTATCAACTAATATTGGAACAATATTACCAAGATCAGATGGAATTAAAAGAAAAGTTGAAATTGGCATAAGAATCAAAAGAGAAGAAAAGTTAATACTACATGGAGATGAACTGTAATTGCTTAAAAATCTACTGAAATTATACATTGATTATAAATAATCTAGTAGGTGGGGAACACTGAAAAGAAATTTTTTTAAATAAATAAAAATTTTTTAAAAATAAATAATCTAGTAGAAAGTTAAAAAAAAAAGATGCCACATAAGAGAAGGGAGAGAGGGGCTAACCTCATCTCCTGTAAGACCACATATAAAAGAGTTGGGCAAATAATGATGCAGGAGGTACAGGGAAAATAAGTCTTCTATGCTTGATATAAAAATCTCCAACTTTTGTTGTTTTGTGTACCTTTCCTTTTGGGAAGTGTTGGTTTATCCCATTGCTAATTTGAGGGGGGTGTACATTAATATCACACCCAATTAGAACCACACATTGAGTTTAACAATCTCAACATACTTTTTCTAACATTGTAATAATAACAATTTAATGATAAGGAATATGAAAGACCTTCAAAAGCGTGAGTAGCAGTCACTCTATGAAATTGACATTAGCACTGAATAAATTAATGAATTGTATATATACACATATACATAAATATATATTTTTATACATTATTTGTCCATAGGAGGCTTAAGAATTGGCATTTCTGCATTTTGTAGGGGAAAGTCACTAATCTGGTCTACTTGCATTGGATCCATTCCTAGCATAACCAGGATGGTCGGGGCTGAGAAAGGGGAATAACACAACCCAGAAGACCATGGTGTCCTCTGTGTGTATGACTTGTAGAGTGTGAGCAGTCCCCACAAAAGGGTGCCAGGATTCATAACTCCCAAGGTTACACAATACAGGGCCAGAACTGAATCAAGAGAGGACCCTAAGAAGGAGATCTTGTTTAATTAATCGGATGCCTTTGCAATACGATGAATACAGTGGGAGCAGTGGGAGAGGCAATGTGGACATGGATATCCCTGTGCCTTGAGGGTTCAGAGGTAGAGAGGCCACTTTCCTCCTCAGCATGTCTGATGACATCTCTCCTCAGTCTCCCTTCTGCTCATTCCCCTTGCAGCACTGACTTTGCTCCTTTGACTTGAACCTTGGAAACATGTACCTTCTTTGAGGATTTTGCACTGGCCATTCCCTCTGATGGACACACACTTCCCCCATATTCCTTCATCTATCCTTCTGTCTTACTTGAGATCTATATTCCAGTATCACCTTTGCAGAATGTCTTATATATCCAGGAAAACAGCATGCCCTATTCACACTATGCTTTACCCCTGCTTTCATTTTCTTCATACCACCTGCCACCATCTGAAATGCTTTTTAATTTTCTTATTTGTTAATGTATTTTTTTTCTACATCAGTGAATACTAAGGATTTTTATTCTTTACCACCCCATAGTCCTTGCCTAGACAATGCCTAAAATGTGGACAACACTCAATTTATGTTTGGGGAAAAAGTAAGTAGAACAAAAATTCCAAAACTATGGGGGTATAGAGGTTCCCCTGAAGTGTACCATATCTATGCACAACATATTAAAGTGAATTTCTAGAATATAAAATTTTAAAAGTAGCATTTAAAAACTGAGAGTAATACAAGATTCTGTGAAAATTAGTCATGCTATTTGTTTCTGTCCTTGAAGTCACCTCTACCACATGGAACCAGGAAATGATACACAAATTTCAGAGTTTCACCTTCTGGGCTTATCTGAGGACCCAGAACTGCAGCCCCTCATATTTGGGCTTTTCCTCTCCATGTACCTGATCACTGTGTTTGGAAACCTGCTCATCATCTTGGCCATCAGTTCAGACTCCCACCTCCACACCCCCATGTACTTTTTCCTTGACAACCTGTCCTTTGTTGACATCTGTTTCACCTCCACCATCATCCCCAAGATGCTGTGGAACATCCAGACTCAAAGCAAGGTTATAACCTATGCAGACTGCCTCACGCAGATTTATTTTCTCATACTCTTTGCTGTGTCAGACATCTTCCTCCTGAGTGTGATGGCCTATGACAGGTTCGTGGCCATCTGTCACCCCCTGCACTACACGGTCATCATGAATCCCGGGCTCTGTGGCCTGCTGGTTCTGGTGTCCTGGATCATTTCTATCCTGAATTCCTTGCTACATAGTTTAATGATGTTGCAGCTTTCCTTCTGTGCACATTTCCAAATCCCCCACTTCTTTTGTGAACTCAATCAGATTATCCAACTTGCCTGTTCTGACACCCTTCTTTTTTTTTTTTTTTAAAGATTTTATTTATTTGACAGACTGAGATCACAATTAGGCAGAGAGGCAGGCAGAGAGAGAGAAGGAGGAAGCAGGCTCCCTGCTGAGCAGAGAGCCCGATGCGGGGCTCGATCCCAGGACTCCGGGATCATGACCTGAGCCGAAGGCAGAGGCTTTAACCCACTGAGCCACCCAGGCGCCCCTCTGACACCCTTCTTAATAACTTGGTGATGTATTTTGCAGCTGTCCTGCTGTGTGGTGGTCCTTTTGCTGGGATCCTTTACTCTTATTCTAAGATTGTTTCTGCCATATGTAGAATATCATCAGCTCAAGGCAAGTATAAAGCATTTTCCACCTGTGCATCTCACCTCTCTGTGGTCTCCTTATTTTATTGTACAATGCTTGGTGTGTACCTTAGCTCTGCTGCTCCCCAGAGCTCCCACTCAAGTGCAGTGGTCTCCGTGATGTACACCGTGGTCACACCTATGTTGAACCCCTTCATCTATAGCCTGAGGAACAAAGATATTAAGAGGGCTCTGAAAGCAATCACTGGTGTTCCAGTGATGTAACAGCCAATCATCCTGGGTCTGAGGAAGTGCCCATGATTGCAGGGTTCACAGCCTCAGAACCAGGAATTGATATTCATTGATCAGACTTTGGAGGTAGAATTGGCTCCTTCTATTTATTTCCTGGAATTTCCATTTGTTTGAATTCAACTTCTCTG